GCGCCGCTCCTGCTGCCGGGCGAACCGGAAGCGCTGCAGGAAGAGGTCGCGGGCGAAGTCGTACAGCTCCACGTCCAGCCCGTTGAGGCGGCGGATGCGGGCCTGCGCGGCGGCCGCCACCTCCACGCCGGAGGCCCGCGTGCTGTTGAGCTGCGTGAAGGGCGAGATGAAGGCCATGCGGAAGGTGCGCTCGAACAGGTACTGCGTCTTGCGCTGGAACTCCGTCAGCCCGAAGAAGGCCATGCCCTGCAGGTTGCGCTTGGCGCTGTCCAGCAGCACCCGGCCGCGCGCCTCCTCGCTCATCGCCGTCAGGTTGTAGCAGCCCACCAGGCTCAGGTCGGCCAGCATGCGCGCCTGGCGGTTGTTGGCCAGGTTGTGGGGGCAGCCCATGAACTCCTCCAGCGTGCAGCCCGACCAGTCGTCGCCCGTGTAGCAGCTGGGCAGCTCCGAGGACGTGGGCGCCCGGCCGTCGCACACGTGCAGAGACGCCTTCCAGGTGGCCCCCCGCTGCACGTGGCGCCACTCGCTCAGGTAGCGCGACACCGGGTCCCGCAGGATGGTGATGTAGTAGTAGTTCCTGAGGGGGAGGAGAGCAGGGAGAGAGTCAGTCCCACCACAAGCAAGGGCGGCGCGGGAAGGCTGGGCTCAGCCGGCGCCACCGGTTTCCTGGGAGGACCCTGCTGTCCCAACGAAGGACGCGGTTCAGGAAGAGCGCCGAGGAGGCCACTCCTGTTCATCTAGAGATGTGATGGAAACCAACCCTTCTGCTTCTACGATGCAATTACACCCATTTACAAATCCTGCGCTGACAGCTCTCCGGGCAGGATCATGCAGTATCATGCAATCTGGAAACATCTGGAGAGGTACATTTTCCAAACCCCAGACTAAAAATACACAGGTGCCGCAGACGAGCGGTTCTGCTCCGAGTGATTGGCCATTCTGGCTTCCACTGACCATTCAATACAGCACCACACCCTCTTGTGAAAGAATATACACTATATATCCAGGCAATATAAACTCCCTCTCATGGGTGTTATTAAGAGGCGGCAAACCCACTTAAAGCCACTAAAGCTGTATAAAAACCAGTCTCAAGACCTAAGGGCGGCTTCCTTCCACAGTTCGAAATCAGAACCAGGACGGGAGTACAGACTGGTAGAAATGGTCGTCCTGTAATGCCTCGGTCAGGCACTAGGGGGCAGCACAGACAGTATAATGATACCGGAGGAGACCAACTGAGGGGCTTGCTGCTGCATTTACTGAAAAAGATCTGGCTGCGAAGGGAACAATTGTCATGCTGAGAGCTCGTTCTGGTGTGAGCTATCCGCTGTCAGCTGTCAGGGGTGTGAAGCTTTGATCAGACTGAGCAAAGATGCTCACAGAAAGGGGAAAACGGGCAAATAGGGAAAGACAGACGGTCAGCGCAAAGGAATGGCGAAGGTGAAACTGCAGAAAACGGAGCGTTTTGGCACAGAGAGACTAGCCAAAACTAGCAGCAATTTCCTCATTTTACACCAGGGAACTGGGGGAGCGGGGAGCTCACAACAGGCCAGTTCTGGTCGGAGAAGAAAACTGCGCTACGCTGCAGCGAAAGACAAAATGTTTAAGACATTGTTTGTCATCGTTTAAGATGTCGCAGGCTCCAAAGCGCTAAATGGAGCAGAGGCTCGTCCTGCACCAGGACCCAAGACCCGAGACCCCTCTGGTGGACTGATCCCACCCTCCCTTCAACAGCACTCAGCCAACTGTGGAATCGGGGAGGATGAATGTCTAACGACACGGATGGTGATATTACTGAAAGATTTCAATGTGCCACACAAATGCTGGGACACTGGGATGGGAAATACAGATGCTGAAACTGAAATGGCTGAAATGGGACATTTATTGACCTTATTAAAGCTTCTTGGAAAAGGAACCTACTGGGAAAATCCTGCTGCTACTGATCTAGTTTAGACCACGAACAGGAGGCACGTCTTTACACTAAGAGCTGTGGGAGTGTGGAACAAGCTACCCAGCCATGTATCATGCTTTCTTTCAAGAAAAAGGTGGATGAGAATCTGGAATTAATTAGCCACTGACAACCAAAAAGGCTAATCATGCCACATAGTCTCATCGCTTAAGTCCTTATGTTTTTTTTTTTCCAAAGAACCGGGAAATAATTAACAGAGGATATGTGAGAGAACCATAAAAAACGTGCTTATAGCATGAGAGCTTTTGATGTTCAGTAGATTTTAAATCCCTAAGGTTTGAGGATAGAGCAGGATGGTTTGAGAAGAGGCAGAGCAGGTGGTGAACTGGGAACAGATGGATTTAGAGGCAGCAGCATGGTTATACATCAAAAACAATGTTCAAGGCTCAAAACCAAGTCCTCAAAAAATCAGTTGAAGTATAGGAACATATGGCCTAAAGGGAAAATGAAGCCAAATCGACTGGAAGGAAGAGCACGCTGTGCATAGTGTATATACGACTGTAGCACGACCAGCTACAGGAAGAAATGACAAAGATATTAAATTCACAGAGAGAGAGAGAGAGCAAAGAATATTGCAACACGGGCAAAAAATAATGCAGGTCGACAATAGCGATGGAAGTGTAGAAGCTCAGGTCAGTAGTTTACAGGATAATGGAAAATTTAGATTGCTTTCGCTACTAAACTACCAAATGAGCAAGATGGACTCAATGCCTCAACACCTACGCCCCCAGCCTCTCTCGGGTTCCCCCAACAGCAGGACACAGCAGCATGTGCTGCTCGGAACTTTGCTACACCTTTCTTTAACCTGACCACGGCCCTCCTAGGACATCAGCTCCCCTGTGCTGTGCTGCCGTTTTCCTGTCGGACAGGTCCGTGTGCTCACCTGCTGAAACACACCCAAAACCTACACGTCTGCCGAGGTGAATCTGAAACCCCGGCCGGCTCCACAGCGCTCGAGCTGGGACTAATCTGCTTGATCAGGCGTTTTTGGCCGCTGTATTATTAGGCCTTGATTGCCGGATCGATTTTCCGATCCGCGATGTAGCCACGTCTCTGGGTAGAGAAAGGGAATTACAAACGTGTGCCGGGGACAATAAAGAGCCTGTCTGCTGATCGGATCCACATCGATCCGGGGACGGAATTCCTACTGGCTCCGAGCAGCCACGGCCCCAGAAAAGCTATATGCTATATGCAACAAAACGGGATTTGCACTGACATGCGGGATATGGGATAACGATCTCTCGAGCTGTAAAACAATCAAAACCGTAGCGATTTCGAAAAAAGCGTTGATTCTGTATTTTCACTCTGCTAGGGAACAGTACGAGCCGGGCCCACTAACAGCCTTTCCATGGATCGATTCCAGGCCACGTTCAGGAAGAGTGGCAAAGAGTCACAGCAGCTGCACCTCACCGGTATTAAAACTCGCATTTCAGCGTGACAGTGGCACAATCCTAGTTTATATTCCCTCCTGGGAGTGCGGTCAAGGAATGCGTTTTGACAAGGCATGTAAGCAGTCTTAAAACAAGCCAGTAAATACCCCTGACATCGATATTTATGGTTTTACGGGACAAATAAAACAAAACGCTAAAGAATGCTGACGTGTCTAAATAAAGCTGTGTGTTCGATCCCTCCAGGGACCATCTAGATCCGTCAGATTCGACTGTTCTTCTCCGGAACGGGACACCCGCTCCCCCTCCGCGCTCTCGCCCACGGGGGGTGGGGTGGGGTGGGGGCGTCCAAGAGAACTTACAAGAGCCTGGGAGCTGCACCATACTGGCTCCATACAGCGGCGGTCTTCAGTGCACAGCCAGGGGGGCCACCTTTTACTGCTACAGCCAGGCAAGGCAGAGCCAGGAGGTGCTGAAGAGACTCGCCACAGGCAGCAGGGGGCGCTCACGTACCTTTAAGCAGAGGGTGGGGGCTGCTTGGGATTGAGTCTATCAGACAACAACTGAACCACAGAGGGCTCTAGCAGGGTTAAGGACTGAAGGGATAAAAAAAAAAAAGACGCAGGAACATTGAAGTTGTGTCATTAAAATAATCAAGAAACCAACAATCCAAAGAAGGAGCCGAGAGTCTGCGCGAGGACAGGCACTGCTGCAACTGTTCACATCAGCGGTCTAAACATCAGCCTTCTGGACGAGCATCTGCACCAGGCCCTGCATCGTGCAGAATGCCAAGGTACTGCAGACACTAGACACGTGTCCATTCAGTTCATCATTACAGCAGTACACAAACACTGCACTGCCAAAACAGAATGTGTCAAATCACGTACAAAACAACAGACGTGTGAACATAGAAGCATATTACAAGAAACTGCACGGCCACAGACGAGCACACAATATTGTGTTAGAATAAACAATAATACACCTTTGGTCAAGACGGATTGGGAACAGAAAAATGCAGGCCCTTTTCATTCCATGCATTTCAACTGCATTAGCTGCCTTTCAGACACCTTAAATGTGCTAGACAAGATAGGCATCCACACTTTTAGAGCCCCAGAAACCAGACTCAAGGCCGCCTCAGGATAGTAGGTCACATTCTAGTTCTACAGGCCACATCAGTCATAAATAAAACATGTTATTCATTCTGTGGAATGCATACTGGCACACCAACGATGATTGGTTTCTCTATAAAGTGCCCTGTTAGAAACTGGACGATTTCCTGTTCAGACACTTCAATCATGACCAATTCCATCGTGGCTCAGCATTACAAAAGCCTTCGCAAAGTGACGAGCCTCTAGTCTCTTGGGTAGCTTACAAAATTAATTCCTAGCTTGGCGTTTGGAACAGCATCTCATGATAGGCTAGAAAGATCAAGTATCTGGGCCAAGTGATCTGTAGATCTGGTGCTGCTACATATTAGGACTGTCACTCTCTCTATTCCACAGAGCTGTGTCACTCCCTCCCTTATCAGATGGAAATACTGCAGAGGAAATGGCACACAGATGAAAAGAGCTTCAGGCTTTGAGGGCTGAGGCTTTTAAACTCCTAGAAGGGTCCAGAAACGTGAAGCAGCAGGATCAGACTTGGGAACAACAGAGCCCGAGACAAAAAGGGGAAAAAAAAAAACTCAAGGGAAAATGAAAAGAAACGGACAAGTTTCATCTGAACTGGAAAGAATGTTTCTCGTGGTTTGTGTCTATTTCACATGACCTATAGTTACTGCATTGCTGCAAATTAATGTCATGCCTTTCCGAAAGGCAGCCGAGTCTTTCTGAACGATAATCTGACGGGGAGCAGCCATGCGAAAGATCATGTCGCTGCTATAGTCGGCTCGCGCAATTGAGAAATTGACAATTTCTCACCCCATTTCGCTGAAAGTGCAATTAGACCCTCGGAGCCCAAATTCACTCCGTTCGTCACAAGGTGATGAAACTTTTTAAAGTTCAAAACAAGAACAAGGGAAATTGCCAGATAAAAAAGTGACAATCTTCAATGCAAAACTACAGTACATCTTTACAGCTCTGATAAGCCTTTACATCCAATAACCTTTCAAATAACTTCAGATAACCTTCCAAAATAAATCTGCCCAACAAAACCGATTTAACTTTACATATAAACCAACTTGACTGTTACAGCCGTGAAAAGTATTAAATTGAAATTTTTCATCACAGAAGTCGAAACACTTTCTTCTTTGCCTCAAAGTGTTTTTTCAAACAAACTGTGACGTAAGCCAGACTAAATTGAGACTACTTTTATGTTTTTAAAAAGACTTCATATATCATTTTGGAAATGCATTTAATATCCGGAAGATACAAAAATTACACTATAATGTGTTGAATACTTTGAATATTCTACAAATATTTGACCCTATTTTTCTTGGATTTATTTTTATACTCGGTATAATAGATAAGCATTTGTATCGATTCTTCAAAGTCTCTCAGTGGAAGTGATACACTGTGGAAAACTATGAAAATCAAATAGGGCTATTTATGTCATATTGTTGTAGAAGTCAAACAATTGCAAAAAA